AATGGGAACACTGCCGCGCGTTCCTCCTTTGACCCTTGCTCTCAAGACCTCTTGATGCTGCTTACGACCCGTTGCACTTCGAGTGTAGAGTTGATATCGCATGATCGGATTTCGATATTTATCTACCGCACAAAAATTGCAAGATAGCCCCAACCTAACTAAAATGACGTTAACTATGACAGGCTTATTTCATATAACTAATTTTGATATATTCAGATACCATTTCAATGCCCTCGATCTCTTGTCGACTTGCATCACTGTGATTACTTGAAGTCACCGCAGTTCATTGATCGATATGCATATTTTTCACAGGCAAATCAAGCGACGACTTATAAGATTCAAACTGAGCATTATAGAAGGTTATAATTGCGTTTGAGCTTAGTTTTTGGTATTTAAATAATGATTTTCAGGCATCGTAACTTACTGTTGCCATCAGGGCTTGGCAATACTATGTGTGCACTATACTGGCAGCTAAATGATGTTTGGGCTGCGCCTACTTGGTCCACGATTGATTTTGATTTGAACTGGAAGATGGCCCATTATGAAGTGCGTCGATTCATGGCACCTGTGATCGTAGTAATTGTGGGTCATTCATTTTTAATTTTATTCTGTTGAAGAACAAGTTTTGCCTAACCTTACTTTTTTCAATCTGATAATAAACCGGTGCACAGACATAGTCAGTACTCTCGCACCAAGCCCAAACGCTTCTCATTTAACAGTGAAAGGTGTGCGGCGCGTGTAAAGTTGTGTGATTGATTATCACCGATAGCTCATCATTTGTCACCTCAATGCGTGTCGCTCTGCTGAGGATTGGAGTACAACCTGCACTTAAAGGCACGGGTCGCGACAGATCCTGGAATAATTCTCCTTGAGTGAAGTAGCAGAACCTCTAGTCATAGAGTTGGCGGCATTGTCGCGATTTGAATTGAGTGACGAGAGCGCTAATGCCTTTGTTTGACCGCTGCGATCACCTCCATTTTTATCAATCGCGGCATACCTGACGTCTGCGCCTTCTCACGTGCAATGTGCCCTCTTACGTTTACCCTCTCAGCGGTTTGTCTCTGGATCGTGCCATGGTCGACTTCACAAGAGAAAATCATAGTCCTTCCAATCGTGCTTTTAGCTTTTCCCTCTCTAAGGTTCCCCTTCACATTTCATGTCTAATTTTCAAAAAAAATCAATTCGATCCGATGACTTGCTCCGTGCCTTTAGCATTCGCTGTAAATCCAACATAATGTTAGGTGAAGATGGATAGAGAGTAAATGGCCAAGTAGACGGTAGGCTTCGCTCCAGCAGATCGGAGGCTTTCAGCGGCGTCATACAGGATTGAAATTGCCCCGGCATACCGACACGGCTAACACTGGGCATGTGGACGTGATTTTGATGGCAGCATGGTTGGTGTGAAGCCATTATAGTAATCATTCAACTTCCGTTTTCAAGCCGCAGCGGTCATTGAAGCGTTAACCTCAACCGCACGGCCGTCATGTAGGCGGTGAACTTGTTCAGTAAGCGAAAGGAATTGGCATGAAACAGGCAATCGTGGACATTGGCGCAACCTTGAAGGTCTGCTCTCGATAATTTCATTTGCAAAAAATGTCGCTATTGTACTCATCATACACCTATGCGAAACATTAAACTTCGTATAGCATACATTATACGAAGTTATACGACAGTATGCTTCGGGTCTGAATGATATGGGAGTGACGGTGGTGAGCGACTTGCCCACAACTGCAGAAGTTGCTACCCTACAAGTTGATATGTTTGCATGGACCAATGGATTTGATCCTATATATAGTGAGGGAAAAGCGGTCACCATTGCTCCGCTCAGCGCAACGGAGGTATCATTATCAGAGTAAGTGAAACAGGAGATTTTCACTTTGAAAAATTTGTTTGAAATCGCAAATTCGTATTATGATGAGCCACCTTATCCATTCTGATGAGAAAGCTGTAGACGCTCAAACGCTTTGCCGTTTTGTGACAAAAATAAGTTGAATTGTTCTAGTTTCTGACTGCAGTTCACTCCAAAGCGGATTAAATATTGTAGTGGGCTGTTAAGAAAGTCGTGCGACACTTCGTACGGGACTTTCGATTCCACATTCATTTATTGATGTTCAAGAAAATACCAAAGGATGCCACAGCTGGTAAAAGTATATGAAGGAGATCCATTTGTCGGGCAACTCCTTTATTCCCTTACTTAATGGTTCCAAGAATTGCCGTGAGAAAAAGCGAATAATATCTTTTTTCGATTACTTTACTTTTACTTACTTATCCCTTAGCTTGCGTCTGGTGGTGGGGGCCGGCCTCTCAACCAGTACACTGCTGTGGGTGCCATTGGAGTACGAACGCCCTGAATGAAGTGTCTCCATTCTGGTCGATTAGCAGCAATACATCTAGCATGCTCAACACTGCACCTCAGAGCCCTAAGGTCTTCCTCAACTTGCTTCAACCAAGTCTTTTTTGGAGCCGTCCTCTGAACTTTCCACTGCGCAGGGCGTCTTCTCCACAGGAGCATATTAGGTATTCTGTCGTGACCCATCCTGCACAGGTGACCGAACCATCGTAGCCGTCGCAGTTCAATTGTTCCTCGATTGTGGGTTGATCTTCAAACTTCTCCCTGATGGCGTTGTTCGTGACATGGTCACGAAGCCTGATCCCGAGCATATGGCGGAGACAACGCATTTGAAACACCTCGAGATGAGAGAGATCCGACTTGAGCAACGTCCATGTCTCAGACCCATATAGTAGCACAGGGAGCACCAGCGTCCGGAACATGCGAATTTTGGTTTTCAGTGATATGTTACTCTTCTTCCAGAGACACCACTTTAACGCTGCAAATGTCTTAGACGCATGACCAATCCTGCTGCGGACCTCAGCCTCGGCAACCACTTTCCTTTCTTGAACGACCGATCCAAGGTACTTGAAATTACTCACTTGCTCCAAGGCGACGCTACCCAGTCGCACGGACGCGGGCGATCCATCCGAGGTCATCACCTTGGTCTTTTCCGCGTTTATTTTGAGGCCATACGACTGGGCAATCTCTGACAGTGAGCACATGATGTTAGTCGCTTCCTCGTCAGTTTCGGCGAAAATTGCGCTGTCGTCGGCAAACATCAGGTCAGTGAGAAAGCCGCCTTCACCGTACTGCACGCCTTGCCTTCCGTTGAAAGTTTTCCTCATGACAGCGTCCATTACCACGTTGAACAACGTAGGGGAGATCACGTCACCCTGACGAACACCAGCACTTACAGGAAATTCTTCAGAGACGTCATCCTTGACGCGGATACAGCTGACAGTTCCATTGTACGCCTCCCGCAACAGCCTCACAATTTTGTCCGGAACATGTTCACACTCTAGGGCTTTCCATAGCGCTGGCCAGTGGACGCTATCGAATGCAGCTCTGAAATCTATGAAAACAACCACAACCCTTTTGCCGCAACGAATACGTTCTTCCAGTAGTTGCCTCAGCGCGAAGATCTGGTCACTGCACCCACGGCCAGGGCAAAAACCCGCTTGCTCCGGTCGGCATAAGCTTCTTCGATGAAGCTGAAGTCTTGCGTTGATGATCTTTGTGAAAACCTTCCCGACGACTGACAGGAGTGATATGCCGCGATAGTTCTTGCATTCCGTTATGTCGCCTTTCTTGTGTATTGGCACGATGATGGAGCGTTTCCACGTCGTAGGAACAACCTCCGTCTGCCAGACGCGACACATAAGACGGTGGAGCCGTTGTACCAATACTTCTCCTCCTGATCACTGGCTTTTTTATCATCTGGATGACTCTTCTTTGCGCTAGTTATGAAATTGTAGCGAACTATGAGCAGTAAGTTCTTCAGTTAAGCTGGGCACCGCAGTTTTTCGCAACCATAATTTATGATCCCTCGGTGCGAAATCTTCGCCACATGCAGGTGATCGTTGTGCGGACAAGAAAAATGTTAAGCATTTCTGAGTGAATTTTACGCATGACGTCGGCGAATTTTCGAAGGTGGTTGCAGTAGACACTGGTCATCACCTCAGTGGAGGTGTCCAGCAGCATCCCGTAGATCATCATTTTGCAGTCCCATCAAAGATACTAAGAACCCTTCCTCGATGAAGCCTCCTTTTCTTCTTCCAGGCAACTTTCTTCTCAGTTGAGTTAATCGAGTAGTGTTTCTTTGTATGGTTCGTATGAAGCCGCAGCTTCCTTCACGAGTCACTATTTTTGTCAGGAAATTCCTCTGATGCTGAGGAAGAAGAAAAGTTTGGCCACCTCTTGGTTCGCCTCATCAGCTGGCACAACCCGTGTGGTGCCTATTGCGAAGTGCAGTCCAGAGTTGTTGCCAATCTACTGAAGCGTTCACTCAGCATCCTGGAGGCTGCGCCTCATCCCTGAACGCTCATCATTCCTTTCCTATAGCTGACCATAATATTGCTTTACTTCAATTGTAATATTCTCCAGTTATGAAGCCCTGATACCATGGCAAATGAGTACTCCCTAGTGAACGTCCTCGTCTCAGAATAGCACATATGCTATCTGCAAGTGCTCAAACAAAGTGCGGTGTGTAGGAACTCTTTAAATGCAATACCTTAAAGGATATTTCAATTTGGAGAGGAGTTTGGAGCTGTAAAAAGTTGAATGAAACCTTCATAATCCCCTCCACTAGACGAGAATACACTGCGGTAATCAAACGCCGAAACAGTTGAAAACGGTCTTGACTTCTATTTGAAAACGGCTGTTCAAAGTTTCACAGTGTTTTCTGGGTAACCGGATATTGTACTAGTTGGTTCCGTACGCATCGCACGTATTAGAAAGGTTTTGCGATATGGAACGGAGTAATCCGTTACTTCGATCTCGATGAGCAAACCGTCCCATCGTTAGCATTTGACCTCCACTCTTTCGCTAATCTTAGTCATCCTTTTCCGTTTTGTGGGCTGTATTAGGATCACTTCGCAAACCTTTGTGGCAAATACCGACCACCTAAACCCAATAGCGTTTGCCTTTCATCGATTTCTGGCCTGAATCGGAACTGAGTTATGAAATCACTTGTCTTTCTTTTCACTAGGTTGTATTTTTCACTAAGCACCGTCCATTTCGAGAATGCTACGACCAGCGCTGGTGGGTCTCTCTAATCTTACTTTGTAACCTTGCACAACTCACCCATTCTCCTAGATCTCTGGGCTGTTCTGAAGTAGACGTAGAAATTTCTGCCTTCTTGGCACATTTAGATGTGTGCCCCGCTTTTATGGGTGGATTCTCGCTATACCTTCATGGTCATCTTGGACCATGCCCTAGCATCTCCTATGTGAGTTTAGACAACCGCTCCAACTAGTCCCTCAGATAATACCGAATTTCGGGACATATAAACAACAAAAGCGTACCGAAGACAGCTTAAGTTGATTGTATATAGTAGGATGCTAAACAAGCAAATCTATCGAGGTTACAGTGTTGCCCGCGTCTGTCACAAGGGGCTAGCCCAAGGCTATCGCAGAAGAATGAATTAATATTCTTCGGTGTAGATTAGATTAGCTCAAACATGTTACATCGAAATTTTGAATGCGAACATTAAATGCGTCCTAATAAATTAAAATTCATGGAGTTAAGTTTAGATCGACGTTGAAATGGCAAGTAGGTGATGCAGATTTTCTGATACGAGCCAGACTTTCCAATAGCTCCGGTGACCTTATTGCTCCAGAAACCGTACTTCTTCCGGACAAGCTTTATGAGGTATGCAAGAGTATGACAAATATTTCATTGATGTTATGCGACCAGTGCAAAAAAAAACTTAATGTTGTGTTCCTTTTCCTGTATTCTTCATTGTTTTCTGTATTTCTTTTTGAAACATGTAAGTATGAAGAAGTGGATGATTCT